GTGAGATCATCACAATTCCAGGCTGCAATTTTTAATCATATTCTTAAATTAATTCATTTAATTTAAAATACATATTCTCTATATCAAATCAGTAGTGTCTTGTCTCTGTACATCATACTTTTCATGATAACAATGCAATTGTGCCAATCATCTATGTAACTCCATTCAGGGTCAACTGTTTTAATTAAAACCATGTAATTTTCAATCTAGACTGAAAGTTTGTATATAGTTAATCAGGGCCTCTTGCCCCTAAGCTTTCCATATCTGGTCTTAAACATTCATTTATCTAAACTGTTCTCAATATTACGGACAGATGCACAGAGAGACAGACAGGTGGAAATTTATAGGTTTACAATTTTATTTCAGAGAGTGCTATTATCATTCTGTGTTGTAAGAGTATTCTGAATTCCTTTCTCTCTGGGATTTAATCTGGGGTTGANACTACTACACCTGCAATGCAACGTAGAGCTGATACAACAACATTAGCTTCTGCATCTGTAGGACTAGGTAGAGCTGACACAACTACTACACCTGCGATGCAACGTAGAGCTGATACAACAACAATAGCTTCTGTATCTGTAGGATTAGGCAGAGCTGATACAACAACAACTACACCAGTAATGCATTGGAGAGCCAATAAATTTATTGTATGATGATGATACAGTAACTGCTGTGTATCATTTGTTCCAAGGTAAAACATGTAATTGCACTATTTCTTTTTAAATTAATTTCAACAAGAAGTTATATTAATGATGATAATAGAATTAAAATAGATTCATAAATGTAATATTATTGTCATTAGAACTCAACATCATTCTCTGTAAAGATATATTTATAATTTGAATTAAACAGTAAACAATTATTTAAATATAATAAAAATTTTATAATTATTATTTCAGGTTCCAAGACATGAAAATGAGTTATTCAATTAATTACATCTGTTTACAGATTATTTTGACTAATTATAAAAATTTTAAATTCTTTCAAATATGTAAATTTTGAAGTAAATAAAATAATTTTTATGCATTGCATTTTAAGTTGTTGTTTTGATCAAATTTGTTAAACAAGAAATATTGGTAAAGTAAAACTGCTTTACTTAAGCTGCAGGACTGTTCTTTGGTTCTCTGTATACACTGTTTAATTTGAATGAAAATTTTTAGTCAGAAATGATGCACAATACTGCCAAGACAATAAAACATTAAGGCAGTCAGTCTAGAGAATTTGATATTGCGTAAAAATGCAATTACCGATTCAGTAAACAAGAGCAATTGAACATGTGCATTCACCATTACTAATAAATCTGAAAATGTTCATGCCAGAATAAAAAATTATTAATAAATTAAATTACAGTGGGTGATCGGTTAATGAACACAATCCGTTCCAAGACTTTGTTCACTATCCGAACTGTTCATTAACCTATTATTGATTTGCCATAGGTTTTTATGGAAATTTGATTAAATTGTTCTGGAGACCCCAAAAAATAAAAAATATATACTTACTACATTCATTTATATGTAATAATAAAAATACATATGCACACAGTCTTGCATTTTTATTATTCATGTTTTTTCTGTTTGTGGGGGTTAAAGAATCTGTCTAATGTCGATTGCTTTTCTCTCTTCTTCAGCATTTTTCAGAAATAATTAATAGCATTTTCGTTGTAGAGATCCCTAAGCCTATTAACCCCAACCTGGTTTAAATGCCATTCTAAGACCATTGTTCTCCCACTTCTTGAAAAGATCTTTAATAGTAGATATCGGCATTAATCCTCTTTTTCAGAACAAAACATATCTTGCAAAGTTTCTTGCTGTTCTTCATTCAAGTGTTCTCAATGTTCTTCTGTCAGATCAGTTTCAGGTTCTATTATGAGCTCTTCAATATTCTTTATTTTTCAGATATGATTTTTGTTACTCCTTAAGCTGCTTGAATCTTCTTGATTATACAGTATCTTTCTTAGATAAGTGGCCTACTGTAAATCTACTGCCCAGCAACATCAGACATCTTCTGCCCACTCTGCTATTATACTCTCACCTTCTGGAAATAAAACTGATGCAAAACTTAACAAGTGCCCGCCCAACAGTCTCACCAATACTATAAAAGAATTGTTTCTGTCAAAAAAATAAAAGGCTGGAATTACAAGGGAGAGTTTCAACATTTGGAGGAATACTATCCGATCAGTATATACCAGGTTGAGCATCGAGGTCAACGTCTCCCACACTCCGAAAAGTTTCAAATTGTTGTCCAAAGACAAGGAAATACCAATCAGTATTCATTGTTTTAGGTCGCTTCTTCTTGTGTTTGTTCTGTGAGGTGTTCATTATCCGAACATAAAACTTTTTCACAAAAGTGTTCATTATCCGTTTTGTTCTTTAACTGATCACCCACTGTATAATGGCTTTCTTGACAACTCTACTAAGAATAAACTTGAACATATGACTGTTTTAGGTTAAGAGTTTTATATCAACAATGAAAACATGAGGTAACGCATTACCCTCATCATTAATCTGAAATTCTGACAACTGAAGTTGGTTAGCATTAGGAATGCTAAACTGCCACTCTGGGACCTGATGTAAAATTGAAAGAAGCCATTAACCATGTGAAATAGAATCAATGAGAAGAGCCTCAGGGTACCAGAGAACAGGTAGACACAGACCATCTGCAAACAGCCCAGAAAACACATGCTGTACTGATGACTTTCATTTAGAATGCCAAATTTTAAATGAGCTCACTGTAATTTAATTGAATAAAACGTTGAATCGACAGGTTCCTGCTATTATTTTATTATTATTAACAGTGTGTTGCAATATCAGTATAAATCATCTCTGGTTAGAGCTTGTAGGACTTTTCCATTTTAATGAGGAAAAATTTTGTGAGATCATCACAATGCCAGGCTGCAATTTTTAATCATATTCTTAAATTAATTCATTTAATTTAAAATACATATTCTCTATATCAAATCAGTAGTGTCTTGTCTCTGTACATCATACTTTTCATGATAACAATGCAATTGTGCCAATCATCTATGTAACTCCATTCAGGGTCAACTGTTTTAATTAAAACCATGTAATTTTCAATCTAGACTGAAAGTTTGTATATAGTTAATCAGGGCCTCTTGCCCCTAAGCTTTCCATATCTGGTCTTAAACATTCATTTATCTAAACTGTTCTCAATATTACGGACAGATGCACAGAGAGACAGACAGGTGGAAATTTATAGGTTTACAATTTTATTTCAGAGAGTGCTATTATCATTCTGTGTTGTAAGAGTATTCTGAATTCCTTTCTCTCTGGGATTTAATCTGGGGTTGACTAGCTGTGAACCATTGCTTATCTTTTTTGCATAATAATTAATTTTTGTATTTTAACTAGGAAATATTATTATTATTATATATTTTTTTTCAGTTTGTGTAAAAACTGCACTTAAAAAAAAACACTTATCTTTACTATTGAGGCACCAGGTCATCATAGTTTGGTCACTAATTTTTGTTTATTTAATCATTGTATATTATATATTGTAAATCTATTATTTGAATTTTATATGTAATTTTATTTTGATGTATTTCTTTTCCATTATTTTGTTCCCTCAAAGAAAATGTGGAAAACTTTGTATTCTGAAGCACAAAAAGAAACTAGATTCTGTCCATTAAAACAATCACAAATGTTATTGACCTCCTCCTGAGATCAGCATCAGATTTAAAGTTAATCATTCTATAATTGAACAATACATAAGAAACGTCTGCAGAATTTGAATTTATAACAATAAGTTCTAATAGAATATTCCATTATAGAATGATTAGCTTTAAATCTGAAGTAGATCTTAAGAGGAAATCAAAAACATTTGCCATTCTTTTAATTTCATATTACTAGATAGAACTTGTTAGATGATGTGTTAAGTGTTACAAAACAATCCAGTTAACTTTTTACTGATTTAAATAAAATAAATATATGGCTAATACCAACAATAAACCTTTCAGGATGTTAAAATAATGGAACAGAAACCTTGTTAATGAAATAACTGCAGCACAGTGAGAGTTCAGTAGTTACCTGGTCATAGAAAGACAGATATTCCAATGATCCGAAAAAAGCTTTATGTGATGTCATAAGTGTCCTGTGCATTTATTAATTAAAAATAATTGTTAAATAGATAAATGTACAAGATAATTATGATATCACATAAAGCTTTTTTTTGGATAATTGAAATATCTGTCTTTCTATGACTGGATAACTAGTAATGTTTAGAGATTCTTTTAGATATTCTCCTATAAGCAGAAACAGTGTAATAAAAGCTGAAACTGTCTTTGATAGACTTGATAAAATAAAGTGCATTGTTACTGTTTTTGATCTTATCCTTGTCTAATTTTAATATTTGCATAACCACAAAATATCTCTCAAAACACATATTTAAAAAAAATCTTATGATGATGTCTAAGAGTTTTCCAATGATAATGTAATGTATGTATGGTAACACAATTGAAGAGGTTCGCTTGGAAATAAAAAAAGCTTTAGTATACAAGTTAATTAAATTAATGGTGACTTTATTGAAAAAACTGTGTTATAACTTAATTTCTATTGTTTTCTATTCTGGGTAGTTCAATATTTCTATCTGCTAACAGAGAAGAATACACAAAGATTCATTAAACAAATGCTTTCAATATCTTGTAGGATATGAATATCATGTGCTTCTCCATCCTACGATATTCTTCTGGCTATTTAATGGCCAGAGATATATCCTAGGATGAAGCAGCTCATTCTTTACTAACTCAGATTTAACCATTTTTCATGTATTTCGGATTAAATCTTGATTTTCTTGAATATTATGTAAGATGTTTTTCTCTATTTGAGTAAATTTGTCACTGAGTACATCAAAGTCTATAGAATTTATTACATGTTAAATCATCTCAAAGATAAAAATTAAATGTATTTTTTTATATTCATACAAACAGTTAAATCTGCAGAGACATACACACATTACATATACATATATAGCATAGGATAGCATATATATATAGCCAATCAGTAATAAAAGGAATGAAGTGTTTTGTGTAAGAATTGTAAAGAGGCCCAATTGCCAGTTGGAACCCTATGTAGGAAGTACTAGCTGTTCATCCTACACAGAGGTGAAAGGTTAACCTAAGAATGTGCTAGTTGGCCAGAAAAAATAAAGACTTACCAAAAAGGATTTGATGTTAAAATGCTTGCAGTTTGTACAAATGAATTTGTGAATTTTCTTTCACAAATGAATTACTTGTGAATTTTCTTTCTCTTATCCTCTTCATTTCTAATTCTTAGAATATTAATCACTCCACTTCTATATCTGCTGTTATTGTCTCTAGTTACTGTAGGCATTACTGTCTCTAGATCCTTATGTCTTACCAGATGATAATCACTGTTCCTCAAGACTAAGGAGGAAAATGAATGAAAGTTTCAATGCTCCAGATCAAAATAAAAAAAATAAATTATTAATTACTCCAGCCAAAAACAAAAAACAACATAGATTTAAAGAAATGAAAAATGTTTTAAATTAACATTTATCACACTAAAGCCAGTCAAACTACCAGATGTCAGGTTTAAGAAAGGCTAATTTTGAATAATTAATTATAAAGTAATTTATGTGATCACTATGTATTATATCTTAATTATTAATAGTTCTGGACAAAAAGTTTGAATGGTGGTATAGGAACATAACTGGCATCTGCATCTGCATAGTATGCAGGAGTTGTGGGTTCAAGTCCTGTTCTGGACCAATTTCTTTTCACGACTTTAATTTATCAACATAAAATTAATCTGGAAGTTTTAGGTATTACTTAATTTATGAATTCTAGTTTTGGTATTTCTCTACAACAAATTAGCAAATGTGTCAATACATGAAATTAGGTATAACGAATATTGCAGAGCCCAATATGTATATAGAAACCTCACCAAATAATTAGTGGAGTTATAGCCCAATTATTTAGGTGATTGTTTGGTGATGTTTCTATAAGAAATTAGGGTCAGAAAATTTTTTTAAAGTTTAATGTATAACAAAACTGAATAACTTTGTCCTCTATGAGGAATTACCAAGTAACAGTTAAAAGAAAAAACATTAAAAGCTGTCTCATAATGATCTGATGAAACCCAGCACAAATGAATATACCTTAGTGCTTTTATACCTTAATGCTGAGTGACTTTTCCCATACTAAATATTATGGATTACAAATATTGCATATAATTATGAAACAAATATGTAATTAATAATTAACTGTATTTCAATAACTAATTAAAACTTTTATAAGATATTTATTCAATAAAACATAAATCAGTGTTTTGAACTTAAAAAAAAGCTCATTTAGCAAGAATCTAGAACAACAAATTTAATATAATATTATGCCATTTTTAGTAAATTATTTATTAATGTGAGGAATGAACTCAATAAACATCTCTCAATGTCTGGTATAAAGTCATTTAGAAATTTTTTAATCACTATGCTTGTTAAATAAATAATTTGGAATTAATTTCTTTTTGTGAAGAGAAGTTAAATTATGTAAATTAAAAAATATGTTCTATCAAAACCAGATAGTTCTTGATTAATGTACTTTAGATCATGTTAACCTATATTGTCCTTGCTATTAGATCATGTTTATTAATTATGAAATATTTTATATTACAACTCACTTCAATTAAGTATAATGTAGTTCCAGAGAAGATAAGGCAAGTTCTCGTAACATCTTTCTCTATTTTCAAGAAACATTACACACTAATCAAAAACTACCTGTGTGATATCAGGAAGTCAAGAAGGAGCTTAGCATCTAAATTAGTATAAACATCTGTCATTACAATTATTCAACGTTTATGCACTAATGACATTATATTCCAGAGTGTGAAATTCATAGTTCATATAATTTCATAAAAAAAATTAATCCTTTAAATTTTTGATAAATTCCTTTAACTAGAAAAAGTTGCACCTGCAAAAACGAAATTTGAGGTGCATGAGAAAAGTATAAATCTTTATATTTAACTATAAACATTCTCACAATCAATCCGTGAATTGTTTACAATTACAGGTGAAATTCGTCATATTGTTGTCATTCTATCGCCACCTTTAACCTCACACCCACTAAAACAAATGGTCACCTGATGAATTTTCCCACCACAAAATGTATAAAAGCCCTCCTCCTTCTTCAATCAGGGAAGTCGCTAATCAAACGAACTACGACGAAGACAAACCATATCTTCCGCTTTGTCTACTGTATGACCTTAATTGGAAGACCTTGCACCGCTTTTCGGACCCATTAAGGCAGAAGGAGCCGTCCGATATTATCACAGAGGTATGAAATCTTATTGTAAACTCCCTCTCTCATCCGCGAGGTTGAAGGAGTTTTGTGTAAATTTGCTTTAGTTAGTTAGTTTAATAAACTGTTGTTTTGTTTTAAATGGTGTCATTACTCGACTTAGCCAATGTCTTATCGTCGACCCCTCCAACTATCTGCCACTCGTGTAACGCATAACTGAATGTAACGCCATCCTTGACAAGAAAGTAGGGCACTGACCTGTGGGAGGCAAGGAGAGGAACTTCTTCCCTCCCCGGTGGCTCACACAGAGTAAGTAATCATAGCAATCATAAGTAAGTAAAAAACAAGGAAGATCCTAATGCCATTATCACTGATGCTCATTTGCCTTTTAATGTCCATTCAAGTAATCCCACTACAACCCAGGGAGATGTGCCTCCCACTTTAGAAACCATTGTAACTAGTTTTCAACTTAAAAGTATATTCATAACTTTATACACTAAAATTTATTAAAATAAATTAATGTTTTAGAATAAATAAATGTCAAGATTTATTTTGATAACAGAATATTGTTTTTAAATGATAAACAAATATTATTATTTAAAAACAGATTATTTTATTAAGAATGTATATCTGTACTTTCATGAACTAAATCATCGTGATTTCCTTTGCATCCAAGAATAACTTATGAAATTTTTTTGTACATATTAATTTCTCATTTATATAACAGAAAAGAATATATAGAAAAATATCTCTCTATATATATTTTTTCTTATTTTTAGAAATTTAAATATAAATTTATATTTTATTTTCTTATCCTTTAATGCAAACAATTGGTGTTAAGATATTACAATTCTTCAGATATGCCATCAACATGTTACCTATTAGATGTCACAATGCATTTTTTAAATATTCACAGTAGGATCCAAAATTTTGGGGACTTGGCCTATAGTTCCTTACCTTGAATAGTTTAAAATACCAATGCACAGCCACCTACAAACTAATTTTCTTGCGTGACAATACACTTTTTTCATATAGCTTCTGGAAGTATACTGTAAGTCCTTTTGCAACCAATAAACAAATTATGGGTTTATTGCTGCTTTTATCTCATTTGTGATTCAAAATGATATCAAAACAATCTCAGGCCATTTTATGACAGATGGATGCAATCAAACGTTGCATGTTTGGATGTAAAATGTGGCATTTTGGTGGATCCATTCATCATAAATGGTCTGAGATTGTTTTGACTTCATTTTGAGTAAGCAAAGGAGGTAAGAGCAGCATCATAGAAATCATTATGGGTGGTTGCAGAAGATGGCTTGGAGCAATGCTTTCAGAAGTTTTACAAAAGCTGGAGAAAGTGTATTGTCATACAAGGAGACTGTTTTGAAGGTGGTTGTGTATCGGTGTTTTAAACTATTCAAAGCAAGGAACTACTCACCGAGTTCCCAAACATTTGGATTCTACTACATATAACTAAATTTCTGAGAGCAAAGAATGGAAAATTTAAATTTAAAATATCGTATAATTTAGTTTAATTTTTTCTTTACATACCTTAATTCAAACAGTGCACTGATATTAACAATCCATAAAGAAATTGTCAGCATTATCCAGCTGTGAATGCCTCTCTAATTTTTGAATTTGATGCTGCTTCCTCAATAAATAATTTGATCTTTTTAATAAATCTTTTAATTTTTTCTCTGAAAGAAATTAACAAATAGTAATTAGTAACATTTTAAAAAATATTTTCTGAAATAGATAAAATGGATCCAACTATTAAACTCTAATATACAAACTTCCATGAATAATTAAATTGCATTATTGGAGCTGAAATGCAAAGAAATACAAATTGTCAAGTGCTCTTCTGCCTTACAAGTTATTTTGATAAGAAAAATGCACAAATGAAAAGCAATCATCTTTAAATACAATGTAAATATGCAGAGAATTATTTCATTATTTGTGTGAGACTAATCGGGAGTAGGATGTTTACGAGGATGTCCCTCTCCTACCACTTACTCGACTCAAGACCTTGAGGTCCGGTCTCGCTTGTCTAAAGGATGGGAAAAACGGGTTAGGAGAAAGGATCGTTAGATTCTTTCACCTGTCAGGCTCTGACACCAATCTATCAATTTATTGCGGATAGATACGCGGTTAATTAGATGGAGAATTATCCCAAGCGATCTCGTCGAGGACTTCGGGTTCAGTATGGAGTGGAAAATGTCGGAAGAAACGCACACCAATCCAAGTTCGTTAACAAAATACCCGTTTATTCCGTACATTTATACATAGTTAATAATTTGAATACAAATCCCTCTCGGGGTTCAATCCGTATAGTTCATAAAGTAACGGCAAAGTATAAAATAGTCGCGACCCTACCCGCGAGGTTCAAATATTCGAATAGCGAGAGAGAGCTTACACATCATCGCGTGTAGGATAAATACCTCTGATTAGGTTGTTATAACGTTGATCCGAGGTTCGTCCTTCCAAGTTCAAAGTTCAAATCAGTCCAAAGTTCGAAGTCGAAGTTCAAAGTCTATTAAAGACGGTGGAGACGAAATGCAGGTAATCCACACACACACACAGTATAGAAAATAACTTTTTCCCCCTCTTGTGTCGTCATCGCACTTGCCTTTTATATGGGGGCTCTATTTTCGAGATTTCCCCATGTACGTCACAGGTGATGATCTTCTTTGACCAATGATGGGTGAAGTGACTAAACTTATGACACAACAGTTAACTCATCTTCTACAGGGAAGTATTGTGGTGGGAACGGAGTTTTTATGAGCGATTTTTATGAGAAAATTTGTCGGTTGTTTTTTCCTTTTTGAGTTAACCCTAACTTTAAAAAAAATCGTTTTGGTTTGAAATGAATAGAAATTATTCGATTCTCAGCCTTTTTAAATTCTGGCCCTCACATTTGTATTTTTCTTCATTACTAACATTATACAGTACATAATCTTTATTCTGTACATACATATATTAGGGATAGAAGTCCAATATATGGGAGCATCAATAAGGTTCTAGAAAAACCACATGAAGTTTGTGAGCTGCAGCTTGGCCACTGTGGCTGTAGTATATTGTCCTAAATACAGCTATCAGATTGCTTTCATGAATTCCACTTATTAATATAGAAAATGTCTCATTCATTCATTCATTCATTTAAATTTATTAATGTAACAAGGTTACATGACCTGATGTCGCAAATGCATAATCAGGTATTATAATACAATATATTTGTCAGTTGGTTTTACAGACATAAAAAACAGTACATTATCATTGTAAAATTGCAGTTATATGTTTTGATTTTACAGGACAATTCTTTATAACTAAGTACACTTATTGATTTACAAACATAGATAGAAATAACATGGACGTACTATGTACTAACAGCAATGGTTTTTACATGTCGAGTATATATACAAAGTATAATTAGAACACACCGTTACAAAGTATAACAATAATGTTACAACAGCTTATGTAATATTATATTAACAATTAAAACTTAATATTTATTATGTAATATTATATTAACAATTAAAACTTAAATATAAAAGCAAACCCGTGACAATGAAAGTGTCTAGAACAGCGATGTTCCAGTTGACAGAAGATTTTCAATCAAAGTCTTTGAAGAATCCTGTATAAGATTGATACGTAAGAAAGCAGAGAAACACATATGAGACAGTCACTGTGAACTTTTAACAAGTCCATGAATATCTTCAGCACCATTAAAGTCCGTGAGTGAGTAAAGCGTCGCAAAAGTTTGAGGGTGTCTCAAAACACCACAAAATAAGTGAGTTGTACCACTCTAAAGTCTATGGGTATCCTCAACATCACAAAAGTTTGTAGGTGAGAATAGCTGCAAAAGTCTGAGGGTGTCCTTAAACACCACAAAAGAGCATAAGTGAGTTTTACCACTCAAAGGTCCATTTGATGTCCTTCAGCACCATAGAAGACCTTGAATGATTTGACATAAAAGAAAGTGAAACCAAAAATTGCAAAGCTGCACACGAAACTGGAGGTCAAAACGTGACATCAACAAGTAGAGGTGATGATGTATGAAACAACATTCCACCAGAAATACATCAGTGAAAAAGAAGGATTTTATCTGTAGGAAAACTCAATGGATTGCAGT